ATATATATATATAACATTTTGGATTTTCATCAAACTTGAAATAAAAATGAAAAGAATAATGAATTCATTTTATTTAAATAAAATTTTTAATAGCTATAATATTTTTTTCAAAAAAACTTATTTTTCACATTCAGCACGTAAGACTGTCAAAATTTATGTTAAGTAAAATAAAGTTAGACGTGTGAATTAGGCATAAAGATAATGTCCAGACGTCAGCATGTCTGGATAACCAACCATCAGCCACCACGTCGTCTACCAATAAGGTGTATAATGACTTGGCGCGTGGTGGTTGGTCGTCCAGAAGTGCGGTGTCAGGATGAAATATTTTCTCGTGAATAACAACTCAACAAAATTAAGGAAAAATCTTGTCACTGTTTATAGGAGCATGAGATGAAGAACTCAATGGAGTATTTAAGACTTTAAATTTTTATTGTTGATTTGAGAAATAATTATTAAATATATTAATTATCAAGGTCATGTTATATCACAATTTCCTAAGATTTTAGATAATATGTATGTAACAAAACTTTAAAATATGTCTATCTCTCTAATTTAAACCACCACCGATCGCTGCCGCCAAAAGTACGACATACTTCAGTACAACTAACCATTGTAGAAGTCCTCATAACCTCGTCTAACAAAAATTGAGTTTTATTTATCTAGATCTCGAAATTTAAATATTAAATATGTAATTTCTCATATTTATAAGTGAATAAATGATCCTAAACATGATTATTTAATTATTCTTTGCATTTATAATATTCAAAGTTTTCATAGAGCCTCGAAAATATCATCATTTTAATTTTTAAAATATGAAGCATAAATTTTCATAAATATATATATAGGTAAAGTTGTATGTATATAAAAAATTAAAATATAAATGATAGATATGAAAATACATAAAAATACATAAAAATAAAATGAAATTACCACTCACCAACTATAAGTTTTATCCATTAATCATTTCTCATAAAATGGTTATTTTATTTATGGAGAAGGAGACACAATTTGTGAAGTTACATGTTTGTCCTTGTTTCAATGGGAGAATTATGGGTATTTTAGCTATTTTATGTAAGTGAGCATGTGGCTCGACTATATTTCTAATTCGATCTGCTTAGAATGGTAGGTTGCGGTTGGAAGCTTGTTTGGTTAGCAATGCTGAGTTGGTGTAGCCGGTCGGTTGATGTTATCTGACTTTCGGTCAGCATGACTGTTTCGTTCGACTAGATGTTCAACTTAGTTCAAAAAATTACGAGCATTTTCCCTATATTTATCATGGAAAAGACTTACAGGAGGCGGAAAGTTACAAATAAAATCCTCTCTTTAAGACTTAATTTTAGAATACATACTATCTTATTTATGCATGAAAAAGGCATATTATAATTTTAAAATAATAATATATTAGATGTGAAATAAAAATTTGTTATGGTAAACTTGGACTACCCAATACAACTGATAGGCAAGAGTCCACATATGTAAAATAAAAAAATAACATTTGCAACTCATTAAAGTCGACTGAATCACTCTCTGCCTAATAGTCTAACGTCGCTCGATCAATAGGAGCCTCTCATTGAGGATCTAAGGTCGAGTATAGGCTGATCGACACAACGAAATCAATCCAGCCTGTTATGTTGATCCAATGTCAATCGAGCATGTTCAACTGATCCAGAGTCAATTGAAGGTCGATTGACTACTTCAACACAATATGGTTGAACAAGCAGGCCTTACAAGGCCCACTGACTTCAATGAGCCGAGCCATGTGACTTCACATACTCTACTTCCTTACCAATAAATAGATGATCATTTGAAAAAGAAAGAAATGGAAAAAAAAAAAAACTAAGTTTTATTGTTTGTTGTTGGTTTGTCACGTCATCTATTTTATGCACTATCAGCTACCACCTAATATATTTTTTTTTACATATCAAACATCGAAAGTGATGCATATTAGAAAATTCGCGTCGGTAAAATAATGGATTATCGTATTAGTATTGCACGAGAATTCAACAAAAACTCAGGTGAAAAGAAAACAACGAGTAATGATACCAGAAGTTTTGACCTGGAAAAACCCGTAAAGAAAAAAAAATTACAGGGCCTGCCATAGTTGTAAAAATTCACAATAGATTGGTGATTATAGAAACCACTTGTCCCACAGACGGAAAAGTGTTACTAGATTTTTCAAGTTACAGAGTTTAATGACATTATCTATTTGGTGGTGGTTGACGATTATTGACGACGATCAACGATGATTGGTGGTTGTCAACGACGGTTGACAGTGACCGGCGGTGATCAATCAGTGTTGACGATGGTCGGTGGTGGACGAGGATTGTCGGCGGTGGTTGACGGCTGCAGACAGCGACTGATGGTTGTCAGCGTCGATCGACGATGGTAAGGATGGTGTTGGACTTTAGCTCATTTTCAAAATCTCAAGTTTTCTCTCAAGGCTCAAGCTCCCCCCTCACGAGAGGCGTGAGACTCTAGTTATAGTGTTATGAGTGAAATTAATGCAAGAATATAAATCATTTTGATCGGACCGCCGAAGAGGTTCATTAAATTAAAAGGTGTTTGATAGACATTTGGGTGTCTTAACGATGTCTGAATTTAGCAATATTGTACTCGTTGGACTCGTATTATCGAAACGCTCAATTCAACAATGAGTTCGCCAGATTCGACATCAGTTTGACTTTCTAAACGTGTATGAAAATCTTTTAATTGGAGTGTAATGACTTGATATAGGCTTGATTTGACTGATATTAGACTAACTTTGATTTCATCAGGTCTGTCTTATTGAGCCGGTCAGTTTAATCATACTTTTGCTGAAATTGGAATACTGGATTACTCTTAATTAAAATTTGAATGTTTATTGTTCAAAAAATTAACTCGAGATTTGTGTCAATGCCTCGAGTCATGTCGAATGATGAAAATTTGCTGGAGAACAATTTCAAACTTCAATTTTTATTTACATATCAAGGTGATTCCTATGTTCTCTTGTATAGGTTGATGGGTTCATTGATAAAAAATGACGGTTAGGTGATGATATATATGTTATCGCATAGGAATTAGGTGGCAGGCATGTAAATTTTCCATCTTTTAGGGGTAATTGCGACCATTCACAACAAAAACCTTAACCTAACATTTAGGCGGGGTGCTCTTACAAGCATTCGGCGCGGCTCGGCATTGTTCGTTAGGATTTGCGGCAGTTTCACCGTGAAGATGCAGATCTTCGTGAAAACCCTAACAGGGAAGACCATTACTCTCGAGGTCGAGAGCAGCGACACCATCGACAATGTGAAGACGAAGATCCAGGACAAGGAAGGTAGTCCCTATCTCTATTATTGGTCCAATTTCGAAAATTGCTGCTAAACCTAAGAGCATTTTGTGCCGATGGATTGCTTTATTATTTCTTAAAACTTTGGTTCGTTTGATCCGGAGGCTGAGATTTATGATATCTTGCAGGAATTCCACCGGATCAGCAGCGGCTGATCTTTGCGGGGAAGCAGCTTGAAGATGGACGAACGCTGGCTGATTATAACATACAGAAAGGTATGTATATGTTGCATTTTTGTGATTTTTTTTTAATATTTTGGAATCTTCTTCACTATATGCTGCTTAACAGAATCGACTCTGCATTTGGTGCTGAGGCTCAGGGGTGGTATCATCGAGCCCTCTCTGATGGCTCTTGCTAGGAAGTACAACCAGGATAAGATGATCTGCCGCAAGTATGGTTCATTTCTATTTAACTCTTTCATTTGTCTCTGTTTAAACGATTTATTTAACTGCGGATTTTTTCCCTAAGTTTGCCTGTTTTTTGAAGACTTTTTTCTGTTTCATGATTTTACCTGTGATTGACTTTGCTTCTTGATGTTATCCTGAGCCGATAATCTTGCTAAAGGTGCTTCCATCGATTCTATCATCTATTTCTGCTCAGTTGCGTATAAATTATGGCGTTTCCTATGTCTGAATTTAAATGTTTTTTTTTATTTTAAGTTCATTTATCTGCTTGGATTGCCTTTATAACTAACACTTGCTTTTCTTTATATTGAAGTATCATTGTTTAAGTGCTGAATTTTTCTGTTAACCTTTTTTGATTTTACTCAATTTTTCTTTCAAGTACTGAAATTTTAAATACCGTTGGAAACAGAAAATGTATTATTTTAATTATATAATCTTTAAACATTGAAGCACCATTGTTTGATTGTGATCTTTGACTTTATTATTTTTGCATCATTCTTTACGCTTTAAGCATACATCTGTTAAACTGACATCTCGGTCTCGACAAGTGAATTCTTAAAATGTTAGCAAATTGAACAACTCTCAAGAGTTAAATATGTTGAGCTTTATTTTCTTTAGCATTGTGGTTTGATGTTGATGCGATTTTTAATTTATATTGTTATAAATGGACCATTACTCTACAAATTTAAAGGAGATTTATATTGCATTTGTTGGCATTTATCGTATGATCGTCAATAACTTTTTAGTTTTTGAAAGAAAATGGAGTAATTTTTAAATGTATTATGTTTCATACTGCTTTCCACTTTTCTTGTAAATTATTTAAAATTGGCAGTTGAATTAATGTTTCACATTGAAAGCATTGTCATTTGATAGGAGTGTAGAATCATTAAGATGTTTTTTAGAGGAACTTTTTAGTGATATCTATGCTCTTGTGGCATATTCGTTGCCCTTTTTGCTAAAAAACCTAAGTTCGTATAGACTGGTTTGTGTGAGTTTGGGAAGATCATAATATGTAATAATATGGATGGAGATGTTTTTAACTTATTTTACTATTATATTATGATTTTGGCAGGGATGATGAATCGATTAGATGTGTGATGAAAAAAGTTCCACATGAACAAATCTATCGAGGCATATTGATGCTGACCTGCCATATTTTATCTTCCAATCTGAATGAATCAAATCGTAATTGAATGGTTTCAGTTTTAATTAGTTAAGGAATGTTTATGCCAGTATCCTTTGGTTTGCTGTATTGTAGACTCGGATGTTTTTTTGGGTAATTCCTGTTATGATTATATAATTCTAGTGCCTGCTTTTTAAAATGATTGATACGGTGCAAATTTTGTTAGTTCGATGTTATATTTGTGTATTTTAAAATGTTAATACATTTTAGCAGGGATGATGAATCAATTAGATGTGTGATAGAAAAAAAATCTTATGAGCACAACTATGGAGGCATATTTATTCTGACCTGCCATGTTTATTCTCTTATGCCATAATTATTCTCTTCCATGCTGAATGAGCCCAATCCCCATTAAATGGATTAAATTAGAATGAGCTAATGAGTGTATCTTTTAGTATTATTGTGTGCTGTGTTTTATGTTGTGGTGTTTTTTGTTACTATCGGTAATTGTTATATAATGCTAGTGCTTGTTTCATAATTTTATGGTTTTGGTGTAGATTTTATAATTTGCTTCTGTGTTTTTGTATTTTTTTGGGTTCTACTTTATAATTTAAGTTTTTTTAATATTAAAGTTGCAATTTATTGTTGTTTTTTCTTAAATTTTTAGCATGATTTGATAATGCTACCCATATTGAATTTTAAATCACTTTGGATTATAAACGTCCATTTTGATTATTGTAGGTGTTATGCAAGGCTGCATCCACGAGCTGTTAATTGCAGGAAGAAAAAGTGTGGACACAGCAACCAGGTAACCCTTCCAACTTGTAAATAAATTTCAACATTGTTTGTGTTCTGTCCTCCAAACAATGACACAAAAGCAATTACTCGAGAATATTTACCTTTCTTGAGCAACATTAGTAAATAACCCATACAACCAAGTATAAGATGGCACAATCATCCTACAAATAACAGTACTTGATTTATGTGCAAAATCTTAATATCGGAGTTAAAAAACACTAAACTTTAGCTTGGCGAAGTCCTATATTTAGCAGGTTCTCAAGAACTGTTTTTGAAGATTTTGCACATCAAAACACGATCGTTGGCACAAATTTCTCTCTAGAATGAGATATAAATCGTGTGCATATATATATATATATAGTGTGTGTGTGTCTATGGACCATCTACAAATGTTAGCTCACAAAATCAAGACATTATGTCGGATCACAAAAAGATAGTTTTCAAAGAAAAGAATACCTAGAAGACTAATTTTTAAATATGAGGAAATTGGATATGGAATGATTTTCTTAGGCTTACTCTAAATTTTATTTTCCTTTTTTTTCTTCTCGTCATCATTTCTTTTCTCATTTTATCTTTTTCATTGGTTAAAAGTTACTCTTTTTATGAAAGCTTCAATCTCCACTCACTTTTTTTCCTTATCGACAATGAGTAAATTCTCTTTTATTGAATTTGAGTGGAATACCCTTAAAACGCTAATTATCTAGACTATATCTAGCATTCTAGATACCATGGCATATATCAAACTATTTATTGCTGTTGAAGTTTAGGGAGCATTGCTCATTGCTCTTTCTGAAATTTGCTAAACTCTTTAGAACTTAGAGTTGAAGTAGCCTACATGCGGCAAAGAAGTTGATTTTACTTTGATGTTGACTCATGAACTTTATTATGATCACTGAAGCTATCATTCTTCCTATCTCAAAGGGTAGTCATTTACATTCAGAATACATTTGATTTTCAAATCAATAGGAAACCAAATGGCTCCTAAATCCTTTCTCTATAAATGTTGTTATAACATATGTATGTGTATGTAATTTTTTTCTTGTTTATTTAATAATTTTATGTTTTCTTATTTGTTGCCTTTGCAGCTGAGGCCCAAGAAGAAGATCAAGTAAACCATGTTTCAATTCTAAAAACTATTACTCATTTGCTGCTTTCAACTGGATGTTAATTATATTTTTTGTGTTCAGACTGTTTCTTTTTAGCACTGGCCTTGTTGCCATACACACTATTGTCTATTTTAGTCCTTTGCTGTTCCACTTCTGATACCATTTTGAGCAATTCTTTTTTAATCTATATATATATATATATATATATATATAAGCATTACTACTTGCAAAATCTAGCACTCGGCTGATAATTTTTTACTATTGAACCTTAGTATTTAAGCATGCCACAATCAAACCAATGAAAATTTGATAAAAATGAAAAATATGGATTGAGTTTTTACGATGAATTTTGATATTTGAACGATATTTTGGAAAGTGGATGAAAGAGGTTGCTAGATTTGTAAATAGCAATGTTTGGGGTGTTATGTTTGTAATTGATCCTGTAGCTTCAATTGTATGATATAGTTGTAAAATTTTAATTAAATTGAGGTTAAATATATAAACCTATTTATTTTTATGAAGAAGTGTTTGAAATTGGTTAGCTGTTGTTATGTTTTTTTATAGAGGCTGCTGTAATTTTATTATATATACAATTATTTTTTTAGATTTATTTGTGGTAGCAGTTGTCTTACAATACATGGCCATAAGATGATATCTATGCTAATGATGAATGCATCAATGATCTATTTTCTAGCAACAATTTCAATTTATATATATATTCCACCTAAACCATTAATAAAAAATTATATTAATATATCTTTCTAGTTATATGAAATATTTCGGTGGTATAAATGCAAAAAAGTTTAGAGGTTAGATATGTAAATGAATAGAAATTGGGAGCTATGTATATAATAATCATATATATATATACATAGTATATATATTACAAATTGAAGGCTAGCATATAAGCTTTAAATGATTGCTGATACAGCACACCAACCTCAAAACAATTTTACAAATTTGAGATGATTTCTAACCTACTTTGACAAGTATATATCCCAACACAAATGTTCCATTATTTGGATCATACCATCATTATAATTTTATGTATAACATTAATCACAATATATTCATTGATATAAGGTCTATATCTGATTATACATTTAAAACAAAATTTTTTAACATTTTATATAAAAAAAATCTTATAAAACAACCAAAATCTTATAACTTCAATATCATGAATTTCATATGACAAGACATAAACGCACCAAATCAATTACATAACACTCCAAACTTTACTATTTATAGAACCAACACCCACTTTCATCTCCAATTCATATTTTTGATTCCCTATCAAATTCATAATGATTCGACCGTGGCATGCATAAATGCTCAAATTCAATAGTTCCCATGCATATAACTAGCCCTAAGAATAACTCAGAAGTGTCAAATTTCATTATTAATAACATGACTACAAAGTTATATATCATACTCAAAACATCCACAAAGCTATTAATAACACCAACTATCAATACATATGCTTACAAGATATAGCGGAATCTCAAGCCAATTAATCTTTTTTTACCACAACAAATCATGCTCAAAGTCAATTAATTAACATTGCTGTGTGATTAAGGGAGCTGAGTAAACTCCCAACATTCAGAATTCATCATAAAAAAATGTAACAAAAAGACACCATTATATACCTTCTCTAGTTCAGCTGGATGAGGGGAGAGCGGGGTATGAGAGATGGTTTGGGCTCCTTTGTGGATTCATATGGGTTATTCTCCCTGAATTCCTCAAGGAGAGCGTCCATCGGCATTGTTCGAAGCGATTCAATCATCCCTTTGCTCGGCAAGTCTGGTTCGGACCTCAATGGAGTCTCCCCACTAGGCTCATAATCCTGTGTTTTGGTTTAATAAAACATTACAATCAAATTCATTCAGATTATATGGCCACCCAATTCTCATGTATTTACATATCTGATGCATAAACTTTACCTGTTATATTTATATCACCCAAATCTTTCATATCACATAAAAAAATAATACCATTTTAATTTTAAAGAAAAAGTGAAATATGCCTTTTCAGGCATGGATAAGGTGTAAGATATGTAAATACATAAGAATTGAGTGGCATGCATGTGAATATTCCAATTTTTTGATCATTCAGCAAACCATATAGTCCTGCTCAAAAGTAGTTCTAGTGCAGGAGTCGATGTTGGAAGCCATGCTAGTATGATCTTTGGTAAGCTCTTGCAGGCATGAAGAGTGGGCTTCCACTGCTTCCATCACCCGTGATACTGATTCTCTCTCATATTCCAACACGGCTGAAACACATAAATGTAGGGTTTTTGTTAAATCGTGTTGGGCTCAATAATAGGTAAATTATGTTTACATTTGTTTAAAAAAAAAAAAAAATAGAAATATGGGTGTGTCGAAATTCAGAATAATGCGGAATAAAACAAAATATTTTTATTCATATGAAAATAGATATAAATAACTCTTACATAAATCATAGAATAGATAGAATAGGAAATAAAATATATAACTCCTAAATCCTCAATTAATCAATTCATATTAATTATTTTGAGATAAAAAAAAGAACATAAAATAGAAAAACATAAAATAGGAAAGAAAATAACTCCTAATCCAAGAAAATAAATATAAAATATGAAAGAAAATAACTCATAATTTAAGTAAATAAATTATTACTCATAACTTCTCACAGGAATAAACTATTTCTTAATATAACTTTTAACACTCCCCCTAAATTTGAAATATTGCGGAAAATTATGTTCAACTTGGATTTTAAAGTATCAAACAGTGGACGAGAAAGAAACTGTGAGGCAGAACTTGAGGCCTTCATCTCATACTGTTGGTTGCAGTTCCTGCAATGTGTGACTCCTAGAAATAATGTTATAGGAGAGTTTGCAGGGTCTAATGCAGGAAAAACTGACTTCTAATTGATTGTTGTTGTCTTTGATTACAGTTCCTACGGTATCTGTAGTTAGAAGATTCATACAGATAATGTTACAGAGAAGTTTGCAAGAAAGTAAACAACCTACATAAAAAACTGTAAGGTTTGCCTTTAGAAAAAAAGAAATAACTCCGGAAGTAGGCCTTGATGCACGAAAAAACTCTGGAGGAGGGCTTGCTGTAGGAATAGCTCCAGAGGAGGATCTATAGAAAATCAATGAAGTCGGACTATTGGAAATCGGGGAAGTCGGTCTATTGGAAATCGGGCAAGCCGGACAATTGAAAATCGGGGAAGTTGGACTACTGGAAATTGAGGAAGTCGAATTGCAGGAAATCTGGACAACCAGAGGAAATTAGGGAAGTCGGTCTGTTGAAAACCAGGAACACAGATTGTTGCAAAGAACAGACGCCAAAAAACAACGCGAAGGACCTCCACGAAAAGCTGTTCCTCCTACGGTAGGGACCTGCAAAAAATTAGAGAAGCCACCTGCTGCAGGAAACATGTGTAAAAAACTAGCGGGAAGGACCTCTCCAAAAGAGTGTCAGCCATTGCTTCTCGCTTCTCTGATTGCTACGTGCATCTCCTCAACAACTCGACGAGAAATAAACATTGTTGACACTCCGCAAGGTTGCGTACAAGCGACCATCAAAAGTTTCTCTAAGAATTCCTCTTCCAAACAAATTGATGAATCAGGGTGGTCTTGCCACTCCCAGTTTCCCCAAGGGTCTGGTTGTGACGAAGAATTTAAAGGAACTCATCTTTCTGCTGCCACATGGGAAGTGTCTTCCTTTTTCCAAGGATGATGAGGAACCTTTACGAGTAGGTCCATCCGGCATGTCGATCTATCGTCGCCGATAGAAGGGCCGCCACAACACCACTAGCTAAGGAACAGTTGGTCCAAGACATCAGCGCCACCATTGAAGGATTCCTACTACAGGAGGAAGAGCTGGTGACGGAAATCCTCTAGGGAAGGATCAGACTGCGAGTGGGCTTTTAAAGGTGACAATATCAAGAGAGCCTCTCTGGAAGTGGATGTATTCAGAGATTATCATATCGTTCTCCTTTCTTGGGTGCTCTAGTGAAACAATAGATATCATTTGCAGGATTGATTTACTATTCTCATCTATCAGACATAATAACATTACAACATTGAAATCTCTCAAATACGGCCCAAAGTCTCTACTAGTGCATAGCTTTGTTATGTAGAAAGAACTTAGCTGATCCAATTCTAGAGAAGAAATAATCTCTTCGGAAACATGCATGGGATATATGGTGACCTCAGTTGCTGGCAGAAGATGTTAAGGTTTTACAAGTTCCTTAAACCTTGAAGCACGGATTTTCTTGAACAAGAGATGATATGAGAATAGCCATTTCGCTTCTTGATTTTCCTTTGGAACAAAGCATCTCCTAAAAAATCCTCTAATGCTTGTAGACTAAAACAATTTAATGCAGGAAAGGGGCAATGGTAAAGGGATGCAGCAGACTGAAGCAATCCTTGGAGCAGTGAAAAAACCTAGAAAACGAATCAGTGGACTGAAGCGGTCCTTGGAACAACGACAAAAACCTAGATATTTACTGCGGTAAGGAGCAGTGGCATAAATTTCAGGGAAATTCCAGGAAATTGACTGAGAAATTTTAGAAAATTGATCAGTGACAGATCTAGGTCAGGAGGTAGAAATTTACTGCAGAAAAAAAGCTGTAGTAAATTAACTACAGGAAATCATGAAGGGTTGGGTGGATGCAGAGCAGGCCAGTGGCTATTAGGAAAAACTGCGGGAGGCCCCGCGGGGATAAAAGAAGAAAAATTGTTGTTTCAAATACAAAGGTGAGTGCCCCTCCCTTCCCGCACGGAGGATGGCAGGAAGGGAGTCTGGTGGTTCTGGAGGATGACGGATGACTAGGGTACGAAATTAGGCTCTAATGTCATGTTAAAATTTATAATAATGTGGAATAAAGCAGAATATATTTAGATATGAAAATGAGTATAAATAACTCTTACATGAATCATAGAATAACAAATAAAATAAAAGGAAATAACATGAAAGGAAAGATATAACTCCTAAATCTCCAATTAATCAATTCATATTAGTTATTTGGTGATAGATAAAATAACATAAAATAGAAAAAGAAATAACTCCTAATCCAAAGAAATAATTTATTCCTCGTAGCTTCCCAGAAATAAATTATTTCCTAACATAATTGCTAACAGCGTGCAAATATATGTTGAAATGGTATATAATCGTACAATTATGCTCATGTATGATAATATATGTTCTATAATTTATATATGACTTTCCAGAAGAGTTTTTGATTTGTGAGGAACTTGTATTCAACTCAATAAGTTAACGAGTTGAACATAAACGAAGAATTTCAGCTCATTTGCTTAAGAAATTAAGCTAACATATTAGAAGTGAGCATTCAGCCGATTTGAATGGATCGGTATTTAAATTGGTCAAACCAATTGCAACCTAAATCCCAAATAAAAAAACCAAATCCATCAAATTTTTTATAAAGTTGAATTGAGCATTCTGAAAGTTAATTCAATTTAAACGGTTCAATTATTAAAAGAAAACAAAAAAAATTTGTAGTTAGAGAGAATTCAGCTATGAATAAAAATCAAGAATTATATATCTTATATGTATAATATTAATTTAATCTTATGAATCCTTCATTTAATTTTGAATGTTTAGTTTTTCATTGTTCGCTTGATGAGAATTAAAATAGAACGAATAACCAATAACCAAAAACCAAACATTGAGATTTTAAAAATAAAAAAGCCAACCTTATTTTGCTCAGTTTAATTTTCAGTTTTTGACCAACTAAAATACCAGACTACTACCAACATTCAAGCTTGCTGAAACTCAACTCATTTAAGCACCCAACAATACCATAACGCCACCAGATTGTAACATCAACTAATTCACAAATCCTAACATGAATAGTTGCCATAAACAACATACCGTCGAAGTGATTAATGATTTCTGTGCTATGCTTCTTAGCATGTTCATCCACTAACAAACGCAAGGTATCAATTTCAGTATCATGTTGGTCATTGCTCTCCATAGTGTTCCTTGAGAAGGATCCAGTGATTGTTCAATATTGTAAAGAAGTAAACTTAAATCAAAAAATGATTAATATATTACCTAACAAGAGCCTCCATGTCTTTAACATGCTTGGCGCTCATTTCTCCGGCAGAATCATGGACCTTCTCCCATTGTTGGGATGCAGCATCAGCGGTATTAACACTGTAAAAATTAAGGAAAAAGGGTCATGGACAAGAAGGTGTGAATATAGGGACAAACTGGAGAGGAGAACGAGTCAAGATGTTCACCATTGTTGAAGTATGGCTTCCAATCTACAGTGCTTCACACTAGAGAAGTCGGAACCATCCCTCAAATCATTCTGCGTCTGCACGTAAAATTCCTTCCATTTTCGCTTTGCGTCGCTAGTTACGACGGCCACCGACGATGTGTGTTTGTCGAGGAAAGTTTTGTTTTCCAAAGCAGCATCTCTCAGACCGTTGAGCTTGGCATCAACCTGTAGGTTGAGGAAATCATTTAGTTTATCGATTTTCAGACGAGTTAGGTGAGTTTAACGATGTAAATTGAGTCGACACCAGTGCTTTCTGTCGATTCATTTGAGTGGAAACTAAGGTTGTGACTTGAGTTATAAGGTTCTCTGCGTCGGATCTTATCTGCTCCTGCTTGAAAGAATTGAAATGTTAGTGTTATCTGAATGAGTTAAAGTGCCAAAATAGCCCCCTAAGTGAGGCCATTTTAGTCCTAGAGTCTATAGAAGTGCAAAATTGGTCTCTAAATTCTATAAATTCGGCTCCATGAGAACTATTTGAGCCAAATATTAAAAATTCTAGGAATTAATTTTGCACTTTCATAAACTCTGAAACTAAAATGGTCTCATATAAACCAGTCACGGGATAATTTTGGCACTTTACTCTTATCTGTATTAAGAAGAGGGGCTTAAATGAATGAAAGAAAGAATGTACCTCATAGGCCTTCTGGAATTCATTGATGCTTTGGGTTTGAGCATCATGAACCCGAATTGAATGGCATTGAAGCTCATTAGATTTTTCTCTTAGTTCATCGAGAAGTTCAAAAACAAAGCTGGAAATTTCATTTGTATGATCTGAACTAGTATTGAATCTCTACAGATAAACAGTTTTCCGTACATAATTACATATCTATCTCCAGTTTTTAATATGCAAAGTAAACATCCTAAATAATATAAACTTGAATGAAAGATGCAATGAACTAGCAGACCTCACGAAGCTCCCTTGTAAACTGTGCAATTTCTCCTCTGAGATTAGATAAAGTGCCTTGTAGATCAGTGAAAATCAAATTTGCATCGGCTCCACCGAGAGCAAGTAGCTGTAACCCCAAAAAGAAAGAGAGAGAGAGTACATAAAACAGGTAAACATAAATACTAAGTAAATGGCAAAATTTTAATTTGTAAGGGCTGTTTTTGGATCAATTTTAATTTTAGTTTTTAATTTCATTTTTTGTTTTTAAAAATATTTATTTAGAGTGTTTTTATATTGTTTTAATTGTGTTTCTAAAAACAAATTAACAAATTTTTGGAAACCCTTAAAATATCTTTTATGTGCTCAATGTGCTCTAAAGACAACAATCCTTTAATCAAATAGCCACACGTCTCTATCTAAATCAAAATATAAATAACATAATAAAAGTACAAAATATAAAATAAAAAACAAAACTGATCCAAAAGGGCCCCTAAATGACTGCAAAATGATATACTCACGTGATCAAGAGAACAGCTATTTTCAGAAGCCATATTTGACAACTCCTCCAAGCTTGCATTATTTGTTGCTTTGTGCAAGCGAATTGTATTCTGTATTCCTTCTGTGTGAGACGCGTACATCAACCTTGATGCAGAAACCTTCTTTTCCAACTCAATTAGAGCCTGAGTTCAATGTAGCTTGAACAAATCAATATTTTATCAATTTGTGTTAGAAAATAAAAGGGACATATAAAAAAGGGACATTTACATAAATACCACAATTCTTATGTATTTACATATCTAACACCTACACTTTCATATTTACGTACACAACACTCTAATATTCAATATCACATGAAGTAAACCTATTAATGCATAGGTTCATGACACAAAAGTGTTATAAGTGTAAATATCAAACTAAAGGTGTCAGGTATGTAAATACAAAGGGATTATGTGGTATGTATGTAAATTTTCCAAAATAAAAACCACAAACCAGCGGAAGAAATTTCTTCATTTACCTTATCATGAAAATCTAGACATGACTTGCTAAGATTCTCAACTGACTGTAGGTGTTTATTCTGTCTTTTAATGGATGAAACAAGAAGGCTACAAATAGTACTGATTCTCTTTGCCAAATCAGCTTGAAATTTGTCAACCAATGACCTATTTGCATAATTTAGTTGGTCTTCTCTAGCTGTGCCACAAGCACATAGAAAGAAAATTAGAGGCATTTACATACATGCCACCAAATTCCTATGTATTTACATATCTAACACCCAAACTTTGCTTTTTACAGTTATACCGCCAAAATTTTTCATTCCACATCAAAAACACCACCATTTTAATTTTTAAAAAATGAATTACACCTTTTCATGTATAGGTAAGGTGGTATGTACGTAAGAATGAAGCTTAGGTGATAGATATGTAAATACATAAAACTGAATGGTATGTATTTAAATCTTCCAAAGAATTTAGTATTGCAAGGGATGCTATACAACAACAACAAGCTTTTATTCCACTAAGGGGAGTTGGCTACATGATGCTATCAGAAAGAAAAATAATGAAGCACCTAGAGTCATTCAACGTTAAGTAATACCTATTTTAGAAAATAGTAAGGCATTGTCCTGTATAGATTTCTCTAAGTCAGCCCTCAAAACACAGGCTTGATGTGCCAAAGCATTCTCTGAGACAAACAAACAGTTAGAGAAATTCAGCTTCTCATATTCTGGAAAAATGAGATCATTTTACACATACAGACCTGCGTTCCGTTGCTCTGCAATAACAAAATCTTTCTCCTTCAATTTATAATTGGCATGTTGCAGATCTTCCTTTGCTGTGCCTAGTAGTTTGCTAGTGTGATCCAAGCTTCTCTGCACAAGAAACAAAAAAGGGGGCATTTAAATACATAGCACACAATTCTTATGTATTTACCTATCACCAAAACTTAACACTCTAATCTTTAATAACCCATAAAAAATAGTAGTATTACCTATTTTTAAGAGTGAAATACACATTTTCATGCATAGGTTTAATTGCTTAAAACACAAAGTGTTATGTGTGTAAATATGTAAGCTTGGGTGTGAGATATGTAAATACATAATAATTGTGTGTTAATTATGTAAATTTCCCGGAAAAAAAAAACATAGAGGAATTTCATATGATGCACAGTCCTTCAAATGTTAAAAAAAAAATCAATCTAAATTCACCTCTGTAGCTTCTAGCTTTTTACTCAGATCAATAGACTTCAGCAGTTGACAATCATACTTTCCTTGAAGGTCATCTATTTGCTGTTATAAAATAAAGGAATTAGTTGAACGCAACCAAGACAGCAGAATATTACAAATTGGGTTGAAATCTTGTTCAAAATAAAGAAAACTGACCTTCTGATTGTTTTCAAGCAACACGCCCATTTGTTCAATTTGATCTATCATTGCCTAGATGGAAAAAAAAACATAAAATGGGAAAAAGAAAAACGTTACGTGCATTTTCAATAAGGCAAAATCAAAACTGAAACAGAGAAGATTGGATGTAACAATAAAACCAAGGAGGATTTGCATACATACCCAACTCAATTCTTATGTATTGACATATCCAACACCTAAAATTATATATTTACACACATGCCACTTTGATTATACATTAAAAGGTGGATTTCACTTTTCAAAAGTTAAAATGGAGGTACTTCTTATGTGATATGAAAGATTTTGATGGCATTAATGTAAAAGTAATAAATAGGTGTTAGATATGTAAATACATAGGAATAGGATGGTATGTATGTAAATGCCCCTGTAGCTAAATTGTAGAAATGAGGAAGTACACTGCACATCTCATGATGTCACATCCACATTTGTTATCAAAGAAATCACGATCAAATTAAATACAAATAATAATAAATAATGGCATTGTGATAACTAAAATTTAACAGAACAAAACATGCCAATACCTTTCTTTCAGCCTCCTCTTGGTAGTACCTCTCTTTTGGTATGTAAACTCCAACTTTTTCGCGAGTAGCATAAACCTCTGTAAAATAATAAAGAACTTCTGGTAGTGGCAGTAAATATGAATAAAAAAAGAAGCTTACAAACTCATGGTCCACCTGCTTTAAGGCGCTCTATTTCTCCATATAAATCCTTAATTAGTGTTGATTTCATCATTTTTTGGTTTACCTGAAATTCAGAGGTATAATAAACATGTTAAACTTAATTCAACTAGATGACTTAACAAAAAGTAGTAAATGAAAGGGAACCACTTAAACATATATAATATGAATTACATATATAACATTCAACACTTAACTACATACAAAGTTAACACCCTCTTACATCCAATTTTAAAATCATCACCAAAATATTAAATTTTACAACAGAACTTTTTTTTTATTCACAATTATTTGATGGTAGCATGCAGTTAGAAAAATGATATATTATACATGTGTAAATAAGTAATTTTCACATATAATATCAATGATATGAGAAGACATAAAATTTACAATGAATGATGTAATAACTCATTTGTAAGAAAATCATGTAAATCAGGTTAAGCTAATATTCATTTATAAAGATAAAACTACCTAAAACCACTCATCTTAATTTTTGAAAATTCAAAGTCATTATTTTTTAGTTTTACACCCCAAAAGATATCTTATTATTACAACAAGAACAACAACAACAACAAACCTTTATTAAAGGCCTGTTTAGGGCTCCTGCAGAAGAAACGGTTTTTCAAAAAAACTGCGGTGACCATTTTCAAAAAGTCAGACCACAAATTTCTGGCAGCTACCACCCTTTAACAGCTCATGTTTAAAACAGTTTTCGACACAGAAATTTCTAAAAGCAGCAAGAAAACAATTCCCCAAACAGAACTATGGTGGCATTCTAAAAAGCAAAGCAGGTAGAAAGCTGTCCCAAACTGATTTTAAGTGGCGTTGGCTACATGAATCCTTTTTTTCTCCATTGTGTCCTATTGCGTGTTATATTTTCATTTAGTTCTAATTAATGTTTAGAAAACTAGATCGGAGCGACCGAATCTACAAGGAACCGATGGACAGTCTGGTCAGAATATACTATATAACAGACTTTGTAATTGGACTGGTTGGAATAGTTTGAACCGCCGATCGAACCGGTGGATCAGAGAACCGGTTCAAATCTTATTTGGCTGCTACAACAAACTGAGCGGTAATATTAATAATTTATTTTAAAGAAATTTTAAAAGCCTAAAATAAAATGACAACCACTCAAAGTGAAAAGCCTATGTGCTATTATTGTAGCTATCTCATGCTCACATGTCTTTCAATATAAACTGACGATCAAACTGGTGGATCGGAGGTTTAACTTAAAACTTAAAGATGGTGGACTAAACTATAACACCTAAAATAATTTAGCAAAGATGACTGAAATCAACGACTGCAGCGGTAAAAGAATCGCAGCAATTAAGGCAGCGAATAAAAGAATCAGCGGCTCAGTAGCGGCAAAGAAGCTCAGCAGCAAAAGAATCCGCAAAGCGATCGCAAGATCTGCTTCTTTACTCGCTTCTTGACGATCTTCCTCGTGAGCAGCAGAAAAGAATCAAATGGCTACAAGCAACCCTAGAGGCGAATAGAGGAGGAAAGCCGAATGACCCTAAGCGGAAAGGATCGAATGGCGGCAACAGGCGGCGGTGCTCTCTAGGGTTTGAGCCCTGGCTCTGATACCATGTGGGAAATCAGAGAAATAATTTTGTATTTCACTTACTTCTTTGAATTGATAATACAAGGTATTATATAGGAGATTACAAGTAGAAAAAACTAGAAAACTATTTCACTAATTCCCTTAATTTAAGGGATTACAAATTAATTCTAATTCCCTCAATTTAAGGGATTACCAATTAATTCTAATTCTCTTAATTAAGGGGATTAGAATTAATACTCCCAACCTTATTTCTATCTCAGACACATCTCGACACATTTCACAATCATTTTTTAAAATTATATTAATTTTGTCACATTTAAAAAAATTTAAAACTTATTACGTCGTCCAGTCGAACCCCGATTCAACCTTTGAACCTTAAATCTCTCCTTTTGCCGGTTCAATGTCGGGTCCGATTTTCAGAACATTGGTTCAAATAGGTTAAGATAATTCTTTATAAAATATGCCTAAGTCTTTTTGGGCCTATCTTTGCATTTCTTAACATAAGTCGAATCTAAAACATCCACTCTCCTAACAGGATCATCAGATGGTAAACATTTAATGTGACCAAACCCATCTAACACGGCTCTCTTTAATCTTGTCTGCCACTGAAGCTACACCAATTCTATCACGGATATATTCATTTTGTATTTTGTCTCTAAGGTTCAAGCCACTCATCCACCTAAGCATTCTCATACAAAAGATATCATATTGTTAACTTAAAGAAAAACACAAAATTCACCATTCCGCAGAAAGCATAACTATTAGATGGTAAAACATCAAGTATGCAAAAATGCAACAACATATATGGTTGATAAACAAAGCAATAGAGGGTGTGGAAAGATCAAATCCTGACTTCAGGAAACTAAGTTAAATTCTAAATTATGAAACATTTACTTCAAGATAAGTGAAAAGGTTATCAGGGCCTTCATAGCAATTAGAATGTGAACATTACAAATTACACTAAATATACAATGCATCTAAAATTGTAATTTTTTGTTACTTAGGCTATATTTTCCATCAAATTAAATTAAATTCAATCTCTCTCTCTCTCTCTACATATATATATATATATATATATATATATATATATAGAGCAAAGTGTCAAAATAGTTCTGACTATTTATATGGGTCATTTTAGTCACATAATTTATAAAGGCACTATAATAATCCTTTGTGTGAACCATTTCAGCTGATACTAAAAGAATATGAAGACTAAATTAGCACTTTAATAGAGTTTTAAAGTTAAATTGATCTCTTCCAAAGCATCAATTGACTATATTGACACCTCTCTCTCTCTCTCTCTCTCGCTACCAACAAAAAATATTATTATGAATGTGTTTCAAAAAATAATCAGAAAAGGGGATTAAAAATTACCTCTGGTCTATTTTTTATGTTCTTTGCCCTATGAGCATAATCTAAAGTGCTAAGTGTCTCCTCAAGGCAATGTACAGATGGTGAGACTGTAGCAATTATACATGTCTTAGTCCTCCCGCCCAAGGAGTCCCGAAGTAAACGTGTCAGCTTACTATCTCTGAAAATTCAAACATAAAAGCAATCAAACTTTGAGTAAGAAAAGAAATCTTTTCAAAGTGTGGAAAGCGGCCAAGTAAAACTAAAGCAAAGTCTCAAGAGAACCTGTATGGAATGTGACCAAGGTGCTCTACAAGTGCTGTAATAACACGGCCTAATGTAAGTAAACTTTTATTTATCTCCCCAGCTTCTCTTGCACGACCCTACAACAAGTGCGGGTGCACAAAATAATAAAGTTAAAATTAAAGAAGGAGCATTTACATGGAAATCACAAATTTCTTATTCAATGCATATCTCACAGCTAAAGTTTCATATTTACACTTGTAGCACTTAAATAATTAATATCACATTAAAGTAGCACAATTACCACCTTTTAAAATTGAATTACACCTTCTCATGCATAAGTTTAAAGTGTCAAAGTACTGTGAATGTAAAAATGAAATTCTAGGTGTGAGTTATATAAATACATGAGAATTGTGTGCTATGTAAGTATCTTTCCCAAATAAAAAATACAAGACAATTTAGACAATTTAGACAAATAGACAAAAAAATACCAAGCATGCCAAGAAGTAGTTATGATAGTCTTACATCCCTAGCGCCCGATCGAGAAATATTTTCAGAGCCAGCAAGGTCCACAAGATTTAACTTCCCACATTTAATAAGCTCTTCACCCTCTGGAGTTGCCTCTTTAATATGAATGGTGATTGAAAACAATGAATGTGATCGACTGAAACAGGCAATAAGTTTTGAATGAGTAAAAAATGAAATCAGAAAGATTTGAATACATATCACTCATTTCAAATGAATTTACATATCTAACACCGATACTTCAATTTTTAAATACATGTGCATGAGAAGGTGTATTTTACTTTTAAAAGTTTAAATGGTAATATCTTTTATATGATAAGAAAGACTTCAATAGCAAAAATGTAAAAAAAGTAAAATTTAGGTGTTAGATATGTAAACATGTAAGAATTGAGTGGTATGTACATAAAATCCGTTTTAAAAAAATACAAGCAAAAGCATTACCTAGATTGCTTGTTTAACAATGTCTCAGCAGTTCGACGTTTTGAAGACCCTCTCTCTAAAAGAGAAAATATTTCATCAGCGCTCGTCACTATCTCTTCCTCCAGACCTTTCACCAAAACTCCTCCTTTCCCATCTTCCATGAGTGGTAATTGTTTTTTCTGTTTTTCCTCCAAAACAATTTTAGATAACTCCTCCGGAGCTAGTAAATCAGTGATTTCTTCATTATACAGCTCGAGAAAAGTAACCTTCACACTGTATTCAGTGTGTTGACACTCTAATGCGTCAAAAATCTGTTTTACGGCTCTAGGAATGACACCTGCGTCTAAAGGTAACTGGCCTTTGCGTCCATTCTGCAATAAAAAAGTTTGCATTAATTAAACAAATAGACATTTGGAAGGTCAATGTATGAAGTTTAGCATAGGTTGAATTTCATTCATAGATTGTCACCTTAGCTTTTCTGCATTCTCCTTCCATAGTATATGTCTTACCGGTGCCTGTTTGACCATATGCGAAAATTGTACAATTAAAGCCCTCTAAGACTTCGTTTACAATGGGAGTTATGGCTTGTTCATACAAGTCCTTTTGTTTAGCTGACGGACCAAAGACCTGTGTAGGAAAAGAAAAAAATGAGTAAATGAAAGATAGATGTAGAGAAAGTACACTATCATTTGCACTGCAAAGTCTCCATAAATGGAAAGACCATGGTTATCTATGGTGAACAAGAAACCATAACACAAAGGTTTTAGTAGAGCCAATAGTTAACCACACATGTCGCAACATGCACTATTTTAAATATGGCGCAAAATGTTAAACATTATAAATAAAAAATGTATATAAACATAATATTAACTGAAAAATAAATCATAATAATGATGAAAACAATACTAGTGATGAAACTCGTGTGCTTAGCACCTCAAACATTTAAATTCAGAATATAGCAATTTTTTGCAAGTGTATTAAATTTTATAAGAAATCAAACTAACTATCTAAGAAATCGTCATCATCGTTACCAGTCACCAAAATTTCATTTACTATATTAACCATCAACATTATCTCATAAATCATAATTTTTATTAGCACATGCATCACCTTCATGTTCGGTTGCGACGATATTAAACCTTAATGAAGATTCCTTCTCTTGCCTTTAAATCACACTCAAATATCTTAACTTCTACCCTTAAATGCGACTTGGAGTTGGGCATGGGATTAGGACCTCATATGTGCCCTAGTTAAATTTATTTATAATAAAATAAAAGGAACAAATATGTACACATTAATTTAATATAATAAACCCTAAAAAATAGCTAAATATGAAATGTGTCATTGTCGATGAATGATATGAATAGCACACCTCAATTCAACACGTGCAAGTAAAACATTAAAGATCTATTTGCTTAATTTTGCAAGCGTCCAAAAGTAAGCGATCGAACTTCCATAAGTTCAAGCATCAGTTTGCTAGCGAATAAATGGACAAATTTCCCATTCTCCAAGCTCACTTTAAAATGCATGAGATGTAAGTTTCAAAATGAGGGGCTAGTAAGTCAACAATAGTATTGCCTTTTTTTATTTTTACTTGTAATAATAACAATTATAGAACAATGCTCGATAAAATGATGATTTAGAATATCACTTTTACTACCAATAATAATGAACGATTACAAATTAATAAGATCAGGTGATTATTGAATGATTTGTAATGATTGTTGTAAAATTCTGACAGTGAAGCTTTTGAGCTAGATAAAATTAGTTAATGTCATAAAAATATAAAGATCACTATAGTTGACAACAATGATAAGGCCATGAAGGTGAATGAAACTTGGCTTGCATGAGATGAAAATAACTCAAAGGAGAAATAATTGAATGAAGCTGGTAGAATATCAAATTAATGAAAAATCAAACCAAAACTTCCCCATTTCATTAAAAGAATACGGCATCCAGTTTTTTATTTGTCAACATACGCGATAAAAGAATAAAGGCACATTCACATACATACCACACAATTCTTACATATTTACATATCTAAACACCTAAACCTAATTTTATATTCACATTCATATCGCTCAAATCTATAACATCACATCAAAAACACAACCATTAATAATTTTTAAATGTTAAATACACCATTTCAAGCATATGTTTATGACACCAAAGTGTTGTAAATGCAAATCTAAAGCTTTTGGAGTTAGAAAAGTAAACACATAAGAATTGTGTGGTAGGTAAAATTCTCAAGAATAGAATGAATAAATGTTTTTTTTTTTTTCCATTGTTATATGGAGATCATGAAGTTGAACCAAAAAACTTTCCTCCGAACAATACAAGGGCAAGGATGTGTGCATAAAAACGCTTACTGAGCCCTAAATTGCTAAAATGCTCTCGTCATTGTGAATATGAAGGGTGAAAATGAGCTCACAACATAGCAACCTCAAGTGTTAACATTTATCTTAAAGGGCAGCAGACATATAGAACTAAATTTCCTGCAGAATCCTATCGCCAGAAAAGTTGATTTTCCACAATGCTTCTTTCCAGGCGATAACCTACACGTGATCTTACTATAAAAACCCAAAAAATGCAGTAACAACCATTTCCAAACTGCAAAAAAGGCATTTCAAACTGAATCTCCATGGCTAACAAGTTTGAAGCACTCTCTATTTTAAAAACAACAGGATCCACCATTCCTATAAACATTTAAAGGAACAATTTTCTTTCACTATTAACCGGCAAAATCCAAATAAACAACATAAAAATAAAACAGAAAACCCACCTTATCGAATGTAAATACCCTATCAATCAGCTTCCCAGCGATAGTCTGAGAAACAGCCACCTCCTTTTGAAATTCATTGCACGTTATAACTTGCGGCGCATTACTGCGGAGCTCATCCTCGCTAAAAGGCCTATAACCAAAACAATCGAGCCATGATCTCCAATGAACCCACAATCAAACAACACAACTCAAAACCCTAACCCTAAAAATCGACTACTAAACCTACTTACCTGCAACGGAGAAGAACCTGCACATTCACAGCCTTCTCCTTCTCGGACCGCGATGAAGCCAGCATTCTGCCCGAAATCGGCGAGCGGCTGGAGAAGCTTCGTAGTTGCTCTAATGGCAGTGCGGGCTGTGAGTGAAGAAATCGTGAGGATAATTGCCACTTGCGGAATATTTATTCTGTTCAGAGCGGGATCCGAAGAGCAGTTCAAATTTTGGGGCATCTTTAAGCTCTCACAGCGAATAATAGCCGTAGGATCTGGACAGCTCGGATGTGATTTGTTATGGGCATTTACATTGATGCAATACAATTTTTATGTATTTGCATTTCAAATATCTAAGTATTTATATTTATATCCATATCATTTGGATCTTTTCATATATCTATAAGATGACACATTTACTATTTTGTGTCAAATATGAGCAATTTTATTTTTTACTCTCTTCCGAGTACTATAAAAAACATTGATTAATTCAGAGTTTGGTCCCTAATTCCGTGGTTAGGCTGGAATGATATCGGCTGCCACTTGAGAGCTCTCGCTACTCCCTCCCCTGAGGGCTAACAATCTCACATTAGTTTCCAATCAACCGAACAAAATTAGCGGTTTTACTCTATCACCTTAAAATCTATAATTCTACATCCAATAAAGTAAATTTCTTTATTTATTTGCACCTAATCCCATTAATAACATACTCTCTCATGAAATCAAATGTGATTCTCCATATGTTGTAGAAATTATATCTCATTTAAGAACATATGTCTCTCAACAAATTTTAATATTTCAATTGACTAGATCAAAAAGTAAATGAAGATCGGAGTTCAAAACATCACAAATTATTATCATTAAAAACCGTGGGAAAACAAAATATATTCTTCACAAAACAATATCTTCAAAGTATGGAGAAGGATAAAAAATACTACTTAGAATTCATGAGATTTATACAATAAAACATAAATTTCATATATAAAAATAATTATACAAAACAAAAGAAATACAAATACAACTTACCTCACAATCCATCACAAGAAAATCCTTAGAGGTTCTCTCCAAGTCTTTCTCTCTTTACAATCATTCTCAATTCTCTCTTAGAAATGTAATGAGGAAGACTTCTCTCACCTTCCCTCTCCTCTTACTACCTAGACACATTTTTTTTACATACATATTATTTTGCATATATACTATTTCATAAAAGGGATGATTACATACAAACCACCAAAAACATTGGTATTTACAAATTAAGCATCCGAGACATTTTTTTTGAATCATGGAACCAATGTATTTATGCGTGGCACGATCAAACTATTGATATTTACAAAAAAAATATATATATGAAATGGGGCTTTACCATGAATTTTGATATTTGAGCAACGATTTTTTTTTTTGAATCATGGAACCAATGTATTTATGCGTGTCACGATCAAACTATTGATATTTACAAAAAAAAAAATTGAAATGAGGCTTTACCATGAATTTTGATATTTGAGCAACAATTTGGAAGAATAATGAAACATGTTGGTTGATTTTGTAAATAGCAGGTTATATAATGTGTAAAATTTTTGATGACATAGCCTTAAAATACGTAAAAAATAGTTACATGCAATGGTAGCATTATAACTAAAAAAAATAAGTATTTTTCATACTAAGCTTATTTGTTACTAATTTGATCTTAGAAAATTAGAAAAAATATAAACTAATAATTTACAAATTAACACATATGTTAGGGTTTAATGTATAAAGGTATTAAATATTTTTCTAACATTTAAATAAGTCGATTACTATATTTATGATAAAAGAAAGTTATATATAAATCATTGTTATTTCATATAAAAAATGAAGCTTTGTATTGAAAAGAAATCAAATTGGAGAAGTCTTTTATTCCACTTGGAGAACTCCATAACTATTATATTTGTTTCTTTATTCCCTTCTTTTTTTAATTTTAATTTTTTAAAAATGTTTTGTGATATTTTTCATTATTTGCTTTTGTGCGTTTATTTCTAAGTTCTAACACTACTTTTCTCTCATTCTTCCATTTTTAAACCAATTCGATAAATTTTTTCCAACAAGCCAATTTGCATTCTTTTAACTCCATACGTCAAAACTGTCATACTGCGGCCCTGAAAAGTAAAAAAGTATCTGCCCAACATATTATTAAAAAAGTGTTAAGAACTAACAAAAAAATCAACAGTTGTTCTTGCATCAGATTTTATGAGTGAAGTTTCTAATAATTTTTTTACGCGCACACTAACTTACGTTTTATCTACATAATAAATCATTGTTTTTGCAATGGAATCTCGTCGGATTCTCCTCTTGGATGAGAGCTTCCTCATTACTTTGGGGATGGACCTGCATGGGCTTCTCTCCTACCATTAGGAGAGCTTCATGTGGAACATGGGCTTGAGCGTGACAAACGTCGATCAACTGCTGCGATGGTGAGGTTCTTTAAAGCCCTTTGCAGTTTCTTTCTTAGCCAACCATTGGATGTTCATCGAGAATGCTAAGCTTAGGTCATTGATTTCCAAGAGGAAGCCACAGATTAAAAAGCTCATTCATTGCCAAATCCTTTGCAAGATTTGAGTGACCTCCAGTTATAAACCATATATCTAAATCTAGGTGGGTTAAATTCCCAATTCTCACGGCTTTGACACTTTCCAACCTTTCTTATAGGGGTTGGATTAGTTAGATTTTGGAGAATGAAAAAAACTTTATATTTAGCCCACTATACAAGATTGTGAGAGGGGTCGTAGGACGGAAAAAGCTTTGTAACTAATCTGTCCTACAAACGGTCAATAATTTTTTCTATAAGAAATCAGAGGATGAAGTTCTCCACATTCCTCACAAAAGTTAGAGGCGGCTATGTCACATATACAAGAGCTAAAACCCTAGATTCCTATATGAGATAATTAAATGAGTTTGGTTTGCTATTGATTGTAATCAATTGCATCTTGCACATCGCGTTGTATGTTTATATGCTTGTGGGTTCGGTCACCCATACATAGTAGGTATGACCGACATCCTCATACTTAATTAATCGCCGTTTCACCGGACGATTCAACTGGTCGAACAATATCAGTCGACTCGGGCATACACCTCTTGATTGGCCAGCTATGTGGTGTCAATGTGGGTTTGATCGCCCACACTAGACAAATTAGTTGGATGATGCTGGTTGGTCCGGCTATATGTCTATTGATTGATCAATTGTGAGTGATTTATATGTTGCATATTGCACTTTGACTGAACTGATCGGCATTACACTTTGCCTCGACTGGTCGCCCTAACCCAACCGACACTACACTTTGATTTGACTAGCCTCCTCGGCCTGGTCGATCGACCTCGCTTTTGTTTAACCGATCACCTCCAACTCAGTCAACCGACCACTTTGGACCGACCGTCGCCCCGACTCAACAGACCACTCGTTTTATTTCAGCCGACCACCTTAACTTGATTGGGCCAATTAGCTACGTTGCACCGAGTTGATCACCCTGGTCGACCCAGCAAGTCGAAGAGGTGACTTCACTTGCATAGTGTGTATTTTGCATGTGCACTGGTGTTTCTTGCAAGATATTTCACATAATCATTATTATATGCTTAAGTTGCATTTTGAGGTTTATTCATACACTCACTCCGCTTATTTGATTCTCTCCTGTGAGAATTATCTTTTTTTAGTCAATGCCCATGGCGGTACACTCATTTTCTCGAGCCAATGCCTTTTCGGTATGCCCGCACTTTCCGAACCAATGCCTCCATGACACATCCATTATTCGGGTTGTTGCCTCAACGACAGGCCAACCTTTTCGTGTCACTGTCTCAACGATACACCCATTTTTCGGGTCGCTGCATCCATAACACACTCACCCTTTTGGGTCACTGCCTATATGACACATCAATTCTTTATGTTGTTGTCTCCATGTCACACCCACCCTTTTAGGTCACTACCTCTATGACCCACCCATCTTTCGGGTCACTACCTCCACGACACACTCATCTCTCCGAGTCACTGCCTCCATGACACACTTATTCATCGAGTCGCTGCCTTCATGACATGCCCACCCTTCCGGGTCATTGCCTCCAAGACGCACCATTCATTTGAGTCGTTATATCCACGACACACTAGCTTCCGAGTCACTGTCTCCACGACACACTTCTTACCATTTTTATCATATGATTGTTTACATTTGCATCTGGATGCGTGCATGGATAGGGAGTCAGGCTCCATGGGGCATGGATACTGTGTTGGTCGCGATGCCTTAATAGGGAGTCACACTCCTTACCACTTTTATCATATGGTTGTTTGCATTTGCATCTGTATACGTGCATGGATAGGGAGTCAGGCTCCATGGGGTATGGACAATGTGTTGGTCGCGATGCCTTAATGAACATTGTTTGTTGACTTGATCCCGGTGAGCAACAGGTGTTAAAATTTCCAGATTGACATAAGTATGACTGTGCTAAGAACCCAAGAGAACTAACTTGTGTCATCCTGCGTGAGTTTGCCTTTATTGGCCCTTATTTAAAACACACACACACACACACACACACACACCAACTTTCTCAATAAGATACCATAATGCATCAATAGTTCTAACTCCTGCTCGTGTCATCGATTGCAACACAATTGCTTTATCTTTGCTGATTGCTCGTTGTGATCTCAACAAATGTTGATTAGTTGATATAGTTAATGAATGGTTCTAGTTATTTATATATTTATTTACAATTCACTTACTTTTAAGATTAATGACAAATTTAATAATTGCATGACAGCCAACCCTTGTTCATGATTTCTAAAACTTTACCCTTGTGTTTAGATTGGGTATTTTTTTAAAAAACCAACATTTGGCCATAGAAATTCCATAGATTTAATGTTTCTTATACCCGAAGAGTAACGCACATGATCCTTCCTTACATTGAAACCACAAGAGTGGACACGAGTAATATAGATCATATGTTTTTTTTTTTTTTTTTTGTTCAGGGTTTAGCCGTGTCAAAAAATTTATGTAATTGGTTCATAAACCTTATCATTTATATATACAAAATTTATTTATTTTTATATTACGATATTTTACAACCGATACAATATTATATTTTAATATTCGGTACAACTGTGTTGTATCAGTTGTACTTTGATAAATTAGTATAACAAATATAACATGGTTGTATACCATAAATCAACTAAGCCTAGACACGAGAAAAAAAAAAAAATCTTAATTTCTATATACAATTTTTTTTATGTTACTATTTTCACAACATGTATAACATTGTAATGTTTCTTTTGATGCAACTGTATTGTATCAGTTGTACTGAGATAAATCAGTAAAATCAATACAAGAATTTTCTATAAATAGTGATAAATCAGACAATCCCAGGCAAGAGGAAAAAAAAAACTTATGAATTCATATTTTTTTATATATAATTTTGTTTATTTTTATGTTATGATTTCTCACAACAGATATAACATTGCATTGTTCCCTTCAACACAATTGCATTGTATCAATTGCACTGATTTATACTAAGATAAATCAGTACAATCAACACATCATGATTTCATAAGCAAACTAATACGAAACGGTTCTACAAGCGGTAATAAATCAGTTCTCTTAATTACGAGGAAAAAAAAAAAAAACTCATTCGCAAGCACACAATCAAGATAGTCTATTTGGAATAAATAATATTAAATATTACATGCATCAAAATGCTACAATTAATAAGAAAATAAAGCTTACAAATTAACAATATAAATGAAATTTTGTTTTAAATTTAATAATAAATTCAAGTTTATAATTTCATCACGAAAAAGCGAAGCATAAATGTCCTCAGATTTGTTTAAGTTATCATTTTGACTGTTCTTCATCCTCAACCTTTCTTCCTGAATTTCGACAACGACAACAACTTATTAATAATATTCAGCAATTACAAAAAAACCTTTTATGCATAAATCATAAAAGTTGTACAAATTTTCTGATTTTGCTTTTAAATTTTTGGCACGTTTTTTTTCTTAGAATAAAATGATGCACCAATAACTTATAATGGGTCGAATTGGACCACTTCACTACTTGTGACGTTTATTATAAATTATTTATAATAAAATAATAATAATAAATAATTTTAGTTTGGTTTTCGCACCTAACAACTATATAATTTTGCCTACCTGTGGGCAAAAATTTTTCTGTGTTGACTCCTGACGTAGTTCTACGTGCGGCTGAAGTTATTTCTGAGTTATTTTCATATTATTTATATGTTATTTTCAAAAATATCGAAATAACCCAAAAATAAAGATCACAGATTATTTATGGGTTATTTCAGGATCATTAAAAATAACCCAAAAATAACTTGAAAATAACTCTGGAATATTCTATGCCGCACCTAGAACTACGTCAGGAGTCTGAACAAAAAAATACAGGTATATACAATTTTTTTTATGTTACTATTTTCACAACATATATAACATTGTAATGTTTCTTTTGATGCAACTATATTGCATCAGTCGTACTGAGATAAATCAGTAAAATCAATACAAGAATTTTCTATAAATAGTGATAAATCAGACAATCCCAGGCAAGAGGAAAAAAAAAACTTATGAATTCATATTTTTTTATATATAATTTTGTTTATTTTTATGTTATGATTTCTCACAACAGATATAACATTGCATTGTTCCCTTCAACACAATTGCATTGTATCAATTGCACTGATTTATACTAAGATAAATCAGTACAATCAACACATCATGATTGCATAAGCAAACTAATACGAAACGGTTCTACAAGCGTGTTGACCTCACTTTTGGTTGAGGTCTAGAAAACTTCTTTAGTAGCCTAGGTCTAGCCATAAGACTTTCCTATTGACTAGTC